TTTCAAAAAGGTTTTCAATTTAAAAAAACTTTTTCAGTTTATTATTTTTCTATCATTGACATACATTATTTTTAATTTTTAAAAAGAGGAGCAATTTTTAAGAACATTAGAGAAAAAATTAGGAATTATGTATCCAGCTTAAACAATTTACAGATCGAGAAACCGTGGCCCAAAGGGCTCATATGTTTTTGTTCAAGTTCTTCAGTGACCCTCTGGCAGAACCAAGAACACTATTTTCTGTCCAGAGGCTCCATTCACTGAGCCCGTGGCATCCTCTCTGGTAGGGTTCTAATACTTTCCTCCTCCCAGGGTCCATGTTTCTGTAGGAAATCTGAATGGCAGGGTCAAATAAATCTGCATAAAATAAACACAAAGCATATAGTTAATATTTAGAAAGGAATGCTATAAACAAAGTTAGCAACAAGAAATATTCAGGCAAGTTGCCTCTGCCTATTATATTCCAGCGTAACTGTTCAATGGGCCATTTTTCTATTGACAGACATTCTTTCCACATAAGTCAAAAAATAATTGCCAAGAACATGGTAACAAAAATCTTCAAAGTCTTCTAAAAGTCTCCAGTGTGCTCTCACTTATGTAGGGTTGTTTCCCAAAACTCAAGTTCTAAAATGATCTTTAAAAGCTATGTCTATAATTAAATACAAAAATAAAAGGCTATTTTTTCAGATTCTTCAACTTAAAGAACTTATTCCATGAATGCAAGAATAAAGATTTTTAAATAAAAAAAAATTTCTAGACTCTTGAATGCCCTAGATTTCTTCAGAAATGGCTGACACAATTACCCCACATGATAAAAATCTTATATGAAAGTGTCTTTTTTTTTGAGTTGGAGTGTCACTCGGTCGCCCTGGCTGGAGTGCAGGCGCACACTCATGGCCACTGCAGCGTCGACCTGCTGGGCTCTGGCGATCCTTGCAAGTGGCCCGAACCACATGCGCCTGCCTGGACCTCCCAAAGTGCTGGGATTGCAGGCTGAGCCACCCAGTCGGGCCATGTCATTTTTAAAATAGTAATTTTTTTCAGGAGGGAAGTAGAACTTCAAAACGGTGGCTGAGGTACTGGCGGTGGCTACGGTGACCTCCCAACCCCGGAAAGGCCGAGCTGGAGATGGTGGCAGTGCTTGCCCTCCCCAGGGGCCGTGGGAAGCTCAGCAGAGACCAAGCCTGGGAGGCCGGCTGGTGCCAGCCCCTTTCTGCTTCTGAGACGACAGCAGCAGAGGCGGTCAGGTTCAACTGGCTTCTTAGAAGTTGGGTGCAGATTTTCATGAACTTTCCGTGATCTTGATGATGTCCCATTGGGGAGGGAGGGGCACACCTCATCAACAAGGGTACCTGCATAATCAACGTTTGTATACCTAACTCTGAATTGCACCCCACATCTTTAGAATAAAAAAAATTGAATTGCATTTAAAAAAAAAAAGATAGGAGACAAATTCAAAACACTAGCTAAAGTTGGTCTATATATTGGCTTCTCCTTGCCTGATTGTTTGCAGGTTATCAGGGAAGGACAGTATGACTTCTCCTTGGAAGAGAAAATCATGGAGTGGGCCAAAGATATTAAGAAAATCCAAGAAGCCCAGAGGGAAGCTGAGTGCAAAGCTGAGGAAGAAGCCACTAAAGTGAAGTCTAAGAATGTTCCAGAGGGTGTTAGCAAAATGAGCTTCTCGGAGACTCATAGTACAGCCACAATGCAACCTCCTATGAACCCCATCTTTGCCAATTTATACCACAACAGCATTTTTGCCCTGACTAGCGTCAGCAGTAGTACCATAAAGAAAGTTCTCATCCCACCCCACACAAAGGCAGATTTCAATCCAACCTGCCTTTTTTTTCTTTATTCTAAAGATGTGGGGTAAAATTCAGGGTTAGGTATACAAATGTTTGTGACGCAGCTACCCTTGCTGATGAAGTGTGCCCCTCCCTCTCTTTGCAGTTACTCAACTGCCAATCTCGCCATCCCCCCTGCAGTTTCCCCCTAGTGCCAATCCCTGTCTTATAGTATTATGATATTCAAGGTCTGCTTATGAGCGAGAACATATGGTACTCTGTTCTTTATTTCTGTGATAGATCACTGAGTATGATCAACTCTAAATCCATCCAAGTTGCTGCAAAGTCAGTATGTTTGTCCTTCATTATGGCTGCATAATATTCCACTGTGTATATGTGCATTTTTTTTTATCCAGTCCAGCTTCAATGAGCAGCATGGTGGGTTCCATGTTTTTGCTATTGTGAATAGAGCTGCAACAAACATACGTGTGCAGGTAACTTTTTGGTAGAATGACTTGAGTTCCCCGGGTATATTCCCAGTAGGGGGATTGCTGGATCAGAAAGTCAATTTCTAGTTCTTTCAGAAATCGCCACACTGTCTTCCAAAGAGGTTGCACCAGTTTGCATTCCCACTAGCAGTGTGGAAGCCTTCCTTTTCCTCCGCATCCTTGCCAGCATCTGTTATTGTTTGTTTTATTAATGATGGCCATTCTTATTGGGGTTAAGTGGTGTCTCAATGTGATTTTGATTTGCATTTCTTTGATGATTAGTGAGACTGAGCACCTTTTCATGTGTCTGTTGGCTTCCTGTACATCTTCTTTTGAGAAGTGTCTATTCATATCTTTTGCCCACTTTTTAAAGGGGCTATTTGTTTTTTTTCCTTTCAGCGCATTAGAGTTCCTTGTAAATCCTAGATATTGGGCCTTTGTCAGATATACAGTTGGCAAGTATTTTTCCCCATTCTGTGGACTGTCTCCCTGCTCTCTTGATGGTTTCTTTTGCTTTGCAGAAGCTTGTCAGTTTCACGAGGTCCCACTTGTCTATCTTATCTCTTATAGTATGGGCACTTGGGGTTTTTTATCAGGAATTGGTTGCCAGTTCCAATTTCCATAAGGGTGTCTCTTGCATTTTCTATGATTCTTATAGTTTGAGGTTTTACATTTAGGTCTTTGATCCATTTAGAGTTAATTTTTGTGTATGGTCCTGCTCACTTTGAGTATGAAAAGGACCCATTTGATAATCTGGAGTTAAAACTATTGATGGGAAGGAAGAGTTCAGAAACACTCTGGTAGGAACAACTGGACCCATTATGGCTCAGGTACTGGACAGTAACCTGCCCAGAGGAGGCTCTGGATGAGGAGGATGAGGTTACCTGGCATCCTTGGGGCAGGTAACCCTAGATTTCAAGCCTCTTCATAAACTCAGTGGCTTTATAACCTTTCCACAGTTGGGCAACTGTGAAAAGATGTCACTGTCTTCCAATGTGCCCCTCCCTCTATCCCTGCAGTAAGCAATATCAAATCCCTATCTTTCCCCAAAGTTGACTGTTGTCTTCATTCAGAAGTCAGTCAAGTTGGCAAGCACTTTCCGTAGAACATCCTGCCTCTGTAATGTCATGTTTCAGAATTCCCTTAAACTTTCCACCCAAAGCAGTGCCAATGATCTCAAAGGGCATCATACTCTTGGGTTTTCAGCTTTGACCTTGGACAGTTGCACAGAGACATCCACCCTAGCACCCTCCCAGATGCCTTTCCTCTCTGTTTTGTCTGTGTGCACAGAGGAATCATAACCTCCAAATTCAGGTCCTATGGTCACCCCTCCTAATTTCTCAATGTCACAAGTGCCCAACCTGTCCAGCTGTCCCCACACCTATTCTGAACTACAGACACTGCCCCCCCCCCCCCCCCCCCCCAGTGAGCAGCAGTGTGTGGAGACAGTAGTCAACACAGGTTACTCATATGAGTGTGCTCTGACAGCCATGAAGAAGAAAGCGGAAAATATTGAGAAGATTCTCGGCTATCTCTTTGCACATGGACAGCTTTGTGAGAAGGGTTGTGACCCTCTTTTAGTGAAAAAGGCTCTGGAAATGTGCCAGTGTTCAGAAGAAAAGATAATGATGTTTCTTCAATTAATGAGCAAATTTAAGGAAATGGGCTTTGACCTGAAAGACATTAAGGAAGTTTTGCTATTACACAACAATGACCAGGACAATGCTTTGGAAGACCCCGTGGCTCACAAGGGATCCTGTTGCTTGCTTAGGCCCTGATGCAGAACCACCACCCTCAAGGACCCTGCAGAGACCACCAGAGGGGAAAGAGAAGGGACACACTTCTGGATTTTTCTTTGGGGGATAAGCAGATCGCTCACGTATGGAGATTGTGCTTAGCGTTCTCTGCAAGACTAGGCCCTCGGTCGGGGGAAGTGGTAAGTTGTGGGCATATGACTGCCACCAGAACCTTCCTGGCTCCTTCCACACTAAGTGCATTTGCATTTTGAGAAGGGTCCTGCCCACCTCAGCGCTCCAGTGACTACCTGGTCTTTCTGGAGTCCTACATCCTCAGCTGAAACCTGACCTGGCTGACAAGCAGCAGGTGTGGGCCAGACTCACCCCTGCTTTGAGGCTGGATGCTTTCCTCCTACCCCAACACTGGTGAACTGAACTCCAGTCCAAGCTGAGTGCAAGTGGAAGCTTCTTCCAGGGTTTTAGCTCCTCTCACCCTCCTTAATAGGCCCTTAGGGCTACACTGGTTCTGCAATGTCTCTGAGGTGCCAAGAATGTGCTTTTCCCCCAGAGGGCCCAGAGTTTGCTTCTTCTGCTAGGCAGTCACCATGCTTCTCTGCCCCAGCCTGTTTCTTTTGACTTGGTTTGGACATTTCTCTGCTACCCAGGGTTTTGGAGTCCCTGCTCTAGGAAACAGTTGTTAGTTTAAGAAATCACTGGCTCCTTTGCAGCACATTGAATGCATGAAAAAACAGGCCATGGTTTAGTTGACCAGCACTAACTCCACCTCTGTGCTCTCACTGCTTTAAGATGACATAGTGTGTAGCACATAGCCATAGAAATCAGTCTCTTTGTTTTATACTATGTTGTGAATCATTAAAGATCTAAATAGAAAAGACATACAGAATTGATGAATGTAAACTAATTTGTTAACTATTTTGATACTTCAGAGAGAACAAACGAAAATCTAAAAGATAAAAAATAAAAACAGTTTATTTTTTAATGTGTGAAGAAAATTTATTTTACATAAATTAAATTGAGTAGAACATTGTGGGGAAAAAGTTATTTTGCTTCCAGATTTCATGTATGTGCATTTGACAAAGACCCAGTAAGCATCTCCTTTGAACAGGCTCTGTTTTCATTCTGGGTTCTGGGTGTGCATCAATGAAATTAGAACTAGAGGATAAGATGGTTGCACAGCTCCGATAGAGTATCAAGAACTCAGGTACAGTCCTCGTCCTATTTCCAGTGGCAGTCAGTGTGATCTTGATTGGATAGTCAGCATTCTGAGCTTCAAGGGTGCATCTGTAAAATAGGAATAATGAAACAACCCTCCTGGCACAGCTGTGGGAGAAAAATAGAAGCTTCTTGAATGCAAATTTCTTGGTGGATATTTGGCCCTTGGGTTAACATTATCTCCCCTCATGCGTTCCCACCAGAGGTTGGAAAATAATCATCAGAAACTCTGACTTTTTACTGAACTTCTTTTTTTTTCTTTTTTTGAGTTGGAGTCTCACTCCATCACCCAGACAAGAGTGCAGTGACATGGTCCTGACCACCACAGTCTCAACCTGCTGGGCTCCAATGATTCTTCCACCTCAGCATGCCAAGTAGCTGGAACTACAGGCGGCTAATTTTTTATTTATTGTAGAGATGAGGTCTCACCAAGTTGCCTCGGCGGGTCCTGAACCCGCAGGCAATCCACTCACTTCGGCCTCCCAAAGCGCTGGGATTACAGGCTGAACCACCAAGCCTGGCCAAGGGTTACTGAACTTCGAAACCCAAACAGGAACAAGTCCAGGAATAGGGCACAGGGTGGGGGAGAAGCTGAGGGGATTGGGATACAGGTAGGCAGAATCCATACAACCAATGTTTTGCACAGAGCCACAGATGTCATGACTGAATTTTGATGCCAATTTCTGAAGGTCTTTAAAAGTCAAACTGAACCTAATCAAATGAGATTTCACCCAGAAGCATCAAATGATCTTGAAGCTTTCCTAAGATCCCTTCTAGCCCTCAGGTTTAATGCTAGAGTCATCTTTAAACTAGTCAGCCTTTATTTTTTTTTCCCCAGTGCTTTTATTTTTAAGTCAGAGAGTGTAACTGATTGCTTATATTTCATTGCCTCTCAGTGGGGTTTATTTATAGAATACCCACATGACAGCCAGAAATACCTTCAGACCAGGAGGGACACCAACCATCTGTTCCTCTGATAACATGCTTCCAGTGATTTCTCCGGGATTCTGGTACTTAACAAAATGTTGCCACAGCAATCTCCAATCTGTGTATTTATAGGAAGGAGAATGTGTGTATGTTACATATTTGGACTTGTTTCCTTCAGCAGGAGAAATATAGTCTCAGCCATATGTTTGCCGCACTCATAATTACCTCCCCACTCCATACATCCCATTTTAAATATCTCACCATTCAGAAAGCAGCAGGTTAGAATCTTCCTCTTGAGTCCAGATACACTTAAATCCATTATCCTGGAACAGAAGCCCTTTGTGGAATGGCCATTAATCAGATAATTACTAACTTCAAGTTGATGGCCTAAATAAACATTTCCTGACTTGAGACGTCTCCTGGAGCTAGAGAGAAAGCCGTGTTTCCTGTGTTGGGTCCCAGGCATGTGTACTCACACCCTCTTCCCCTAAAACCACTGCTCCTCATGTAAAAATGAAAGACTGGGCAATGATGTTGAAAATCATAGGTGTATTGACTGAGCTCACTCCTTGTAGCATGTTGTGCTAGACATGTTACATACAGTATCTGATTTTTACTTCACATAACAGCTCTAGGTGGTGGGGACTCCAATATTTCCATCTTACAAATGAAGAAACTGAGGCTTAGGGGAGGTAAATAGCTTGCAAATGACAGAGCTGGCTCTCAACCCGAGATCTGTTTCTCTAAAGGGAAGACTATTTTTGTTGAATATTTCCGATATTCATTGATCCAGTCAATATTTAAGGAAAGTCTTCCAAGCACCACATGTTGTGTTGAGTTCTGGGAATACAATGGTTCACAAGGAGGCAGTGTTCCCTCTCTCGAGAAGCTAACAGTTCTGGTCTAAGAGGACAGATGATAAACAAATTTTTAAAAAAAACTAACAGGTAATAATAAAAGTGGTAATATGGGGTAACAGAAAGAGAGTCCTGTGGCCACTTCCACTCCAGTTTGGAGGAATGAGCTGAGACCAGAATGAGAACAGGTCTGGCAAGTGAAACTCCTGAGGAGAAGTGTTCGGTCAGAGGAAATAACTGGTGGCTTAGGTGGGAATGACCTCGTTTGCTTTCAAGTTCAGATGGAAGGCTGTTGGGATCAGAGCCAGAGCGATGGAGGGGAAGAAGTGTGGGAAGTATGGGAAGTCCCAAAGTCAGGCAGGGCCCTGTCATGTGGGCACTATTGGCCAGGGCAGGGAGTTTTACTTTTAATAAGGTGCTTGGTCGGCCACTGGCAAGGTATCTGGTGTTTTAAGTGAGAGAGTTTTATAATTGGATTTACATTTTTCAGAGTTCAGAGTTGATTGCAGAAAAGCCAGGGATTGCATACAGAAGCAGAAAGAGACGACCAGGGTAACCAGGGTTACCTCTGCCAGGATGGGAAGTGTCCAGGAAAGGGATAGAGCATGCTTCTCATTGGAGATCTTTCTAGAAAGATAAGCAAGATTTCACCAGGCAAAGAGAAAAATGAAGAGAGCTTCTGTGAGGGAAAACAGTGGTTGCAAATGCAAAGACATCTATAAGGACAGGATGTGTTAGGGAAATAGTGAAAGCTTATCTGCAGAGTGTGGTGAGGTAAAAAATACCAGGAGCATACTGCAAGGGCCTGGAGTGGGTGCATCTTTATCCCAAATGGTAACCACCACTATGCAGATAAACAAAAGAGGCCCCTTCCTTCCCGTGGACAGAACCCTACACCAGAGTACATGGGAAGGAAAAGCAGTAATGATGATCAGCTCTGTCCTTCTCTTCCTGATCTCAATCTGAGCTACATTAAGAGAAGTGTGCAGAAATGTTTAATCTTCCTCCCTGCCACCCTCTTACTGGGACCATTCTGGACACTTAGTCTGCAGGACTCCATGCTGAGGTTTGCTTAATGGCACCAACATGCACCATCCGAATAAAAAGGTGATCTAGACCCAGCCTGGGGACCCAGGACTGATGCCAAGAGTGTCATAATGGATGGCATCATTCCAGAAATTTTTTGAAGATTCTAGCTCCTGAAACAGGAGGCTCATGAAACAACCTCAGTATCACCTGAGAGTATGTCAGAAGTACCGAATCTCAGGCTTCACTCTAGAACCATTTAACCAGAATCTTCATTTTTAGCAAGAGTCCCAGAGGAGCTGCATGCACACTTGAGACTAAAAGACCCTGGACTAGATAAACCTGTTCCTGTCAATGGTAAATTAGACCTGAGAAAGCCAGAATAGGCCAGGAACTTTGCATAACTCCACAACGGGATGGCAGCAGAGACCTGGGTTGTGCAGTGGTGTGTCCAAGACACAGATGAACCCTGGATCTTCTGATTCCTATTTCCAACTATGCTTCTGACACAGAAATGTGGGCTTAGAAGTGTTCTCAGGGCACAGCCTGTATCAACAGCAAAGATGTTTGGTTAAATGGATGCAAACACAAGTTTAAATGGTTGTACTAATAAATAATTGAATTTTCCAGAAGAAAAATATAAAATTTTCCCTTGTCATCAGAAGATTGTACACTGAAGGAAAGGGTTAGATTCACGAGGAAAATGAGAAACTGTCTAAAACAATTTCAGTCTGCAAGAAATATCCAGTGAGTTATCTACTCAGGGAATTTTAGCCACTCTTGTGCATTTGGGAAATTGACTCTCATTAGGCTGCATTATTGATATGCAGGTAGAAGGTCCTTGTTTCACACTATTTTTTTTTTAAATAAAGCTTGTCATGTTTTAACACATTATATAATTTCCAGTTTTAATATTTGGGACTGAATAGTTTGATCATGATATCAGACTGAGGTGAGCTTCAGTTTGAAGCATTAGATTAGAGGGAAGAAAAATTTAAAAACCCTAAAATATTAAATTGCCACACATTATATGTGAAATGTGTCTTTGAAGTGCATACAACTTCTTTTTAATTTCAGTGTTACTCTGTCTTAAATCTTTGCAAGAAAAAAATCAATTAGCATCGTAGAGCTGGTAATTCTACACTATATTCTGCAACAAGGGGGAATGACAGAGAAAGAGCAATTTAGGCTGATAGCTACATCAACCACAGTACAGTTGATTAAAAATTTAACAGTTTTTCTGATGAACATCCCAGCTCAGATTTGGAAAACACTGACGAATTTAATTTTCCACTGACTAAATAATCATTTTATAAGCCATGTATAATTCATGTAATGGCAATGTTATGGGCTTGTTAAAAATGACTTGTACTAAACAGTTAACACTCTCCAGCAAGCAGAGGTTTGTAAAGGAACATTATTGGAATTAGTTGGCACCTGCTAATGGCAAATGGGTTTTTGTCTTTTGAATCTTAAAGTGAAATGAGTTAAAACTTTTAGTATAAATAGCATTCCACTCCGCATCCTCCACCCCAAAATCACAAAAGTGTGAATTGAGAAAAGAATGATATTTGTTTGGTTCTAACCCTGCTTACCAGTAGAATCAGGTTGGGCAACAGATTTTGCTTTTCCTATCTCAGTTTTCTTACCAGGAAAATGGAGATAGTGGTGCGTAATAAATAGTGTTATTGAAGGAGGTCAAAGAAATGATGCCTCTGAATTCACAGTGAGGCCTTGTGTTATACCGTCACACCAGCGGTCCCCTACCCTGAATCTATCTCCTGGGCATCTGCAGGGACACTCCTCCGCTCCCTGTAGAATATGCTCAAATGACTCTTTCTCAGTAAAATATGTGCAGACAACCTAAATTAAAACTGCAAACATTTTGTACCACCACACTCTCTTCATGATATCCTTACCCTGGTCCACTTTCTTTGTCACATTTGCTATCTACTTACATACTGTGGAACTTATTTTTGCCTATAATTATTAATTTATTTATTAATAAACTATTATCAATAAATTATTGATGAATTATTTTTGAATTATTTGATGTTGTTGCTCTGCATTTCCCCAAGAGGAAGGATAGCTTCACAAAGGCAGACTTTATTTTTTTTTATTTTGAGTTGGAGTCTCACTCTGTCACCAGGCTGGAGTGCAGTGGCATGATCATGGCCACCGCAGCCTCGACTTGCTGGGCTCAGGCAGTCCTTCCCCCTCAGCCTTCCAAGTAGCTGGAACCACAGGCATGTGCCACCACGCCTGGCTAAGTTTTTGATTTTTTGTAGAGATGAGGTCTTGCCATGTTGCCGAGGCTGGTCTTGAACCCCTGAGCTCAGGCAATCCTCTTGCCTCCACCTCCCAAAGTGCTGGGATTACAAGCTTGAGACACTGTGCCCGGTCATGGCAGACATTTTTGACAGTTGCATTTCTTCATGAGCTCCAGTCCAGGGTTTGGCACATAATAAGTGCTCAAAAAGTATTTGCTTAATAAATGAGTGAATGTTTCAAACATTTTAGAAATATTCTCTTTTCCCCATTGTAACAGTGGTTGGTCATTAGACTCACTAAGTGAAGCTGTAGAAAATTCAATTTCCTGGGAAGTATTTTCAGAGAGTCTTAGAGTCAGGGTAGTACCCAAGAATCAGCATTTTTGATGCACATGGGCAAAAGTCACAGTTTCAAAAATATTACAACCTTGAATGTGAGGCCTCTCTATCCACACTGCCCCATGAAGGACCTGGCCTGCATGAACTCACAAGCCTATAATCAGGTTTTAATGTTAATTTGTCAGGAATACCTATATCATGAGGGATATGTAAATTTGGATTTCATACCCATAGGTGAGCCAATGACCCAAAACCCTACGTGGAGGCAAACTTTGCTGCCACCTTCCCATACCAATGGACAGAAAAGTAGCCTAAAACTGAAAGGGAATTTGATGCAGACTCTTTTATTCAATGAAACCTCCACGTTTTTGATCACCTACAATCCACTCTTTTCATTTTTATTATTGAACATGGAGTTAGAGCTTGGCTGTGTGTGATCTTGGCCAAGTCATTCCATCTCTCAAAGTCTGATTCCAGGCCTTTCTCTCTTATTTTCAAGATTACCACGAAGATCAAAATATTTTAAATGATTTCATTCTGCATGATGGCAATATCCATTGCAAAGTGCAAAACAATAGTATTAATAGTGGAGCTCTTATATAAAGGCCTATAGATTATTTTATCCATGAATTCTGTCCTATATATAAGAAAGAACATCGTAGAAGAGACATAGAGGGTTAGAGATTTTCTTGTTCAGTGGTTTCTAGACAACACTAAAGAGAGGTCCACCTGGAACTTATTAAGGATGGATATTCCAGAGTTCCAGCTCAAGTATTCTCAGTCAGCTGGTCTGAAATGATACTTTGGATCTTTGTTTTCACCTAGCACCTGCCCCAGTCAACTCTAA